GTTACGAGTTCGGCTCTCACGTCTTCACAGGACATGGCTTCGGTAATGACCCCGTTAAGTCCTTCTGCAACTGGTTGACTGCGGACGGTAACGACGGTGCCAAGAAGTCCGTCCTTGGATACCTGCTCAAGTTAGACGTCGACAAATTCCACGCGGTTTACTCCGGCTACGTGCCAGATGGTGAAGTCACTAAGTTACAGGCTTGTGCAGCCTTGGCTTCTCTCTACGACCCTCTTGGCCTCTACGTTGAGCTAGACATACAAGGACGACTACTTTGGCGAGAAGTCTGTCAGGCTCATAAAAACTGGGACGACAAGCTCAACGATGATTTGGTCCATCGGATCAAAGTATGGGCAACGTCGTGTACGGAAATAACTACGTTAATAGGCTTCGAGAGGTTCATTGACTTGGAGAATTACCCCTTATTGGTCTCATCAGATGCATCTGGTGAATGTTGGGGTGTGGACGTGAGGTGTACCACTGGTGAAGATACTACTACTAGGGTCATGGCTCGTGGAGGAGTCTTCCCAAGCTCACAGACTAAGTGGACTATTCCACGTAAGGAGCTGGTCGCTGTACACCACGCCCTCACTTGGATACGTTCTACATCAACCTACTTACCCATCAAGACTTGTCTACGTCCTCACCAGTCACCTCTAGAACCCTTGGTACCTAATCTACCAGCTCGACAAGTCGTTCTCCTATGTGACAGTGAGATCACGGTGTATCGGTTACGACGCCCCAGTAGGGACAAGAAGCTACCTGTCGTTGAACGACGAAGACTGAAGGAGATTAGAGAGATGTGCCGGCAGTTAGACGTTATCGTCAAGCACATACCCTCTGAGTTGAACTATGCCGACTCGATATCACGAGCTAAGATCAACGACAAGGTTATTGACGGTACCCACGTCTGCAAGGCGATGTCTGTCAGCGAAGTGGTTTTTGACTATAGGGAGATTACGGATGACGAGATGGCTGAGAATATAGTCGAGACCAACGATGAAGAACCCTGCTCACAATACACCACT